TACATCCTGAAGTCTACTCAACATCTTTTATCTCCCAATACATAATCCAACAAACAACTGTCATTTCGCCCTACATCATATCGTGTATACTTATTTATCCTTTTTTTCCCTTAAAATATGTATTACCTATAACTAAACCCCTTTCTATAAAAAGTTCAATCAAAGGGCTCCCATTATCATTTACACCTGGCACCCCAAACTTACCTACCACACCCTCTCTAAAAAGTTTCTCCTATTTTAGCATTCAAGTCCCCTACCACAATTACTCTCTCCTTGGTTCAAAGGCTCCTATACATTCACTTAACATCTCCCAAAATTCTCTCTCTCTCCTCTGCATTCCTCCTTCCAGGTGCATACCCCGCTTATAATGACCCACTCCGCATCCAACCTTTACTTTAATCCACATAATTCTTGAGTTTACACATTCATATTCTCTTTTCTCCTTCCATAACTGATCATTTAACTTTAAACTGCTACCCCTTCCTTTCCCTCTAACTCTCTCAGATACTCCAGATTTAATCCCTTTTTATTTCCCCCACTGAAACTCTCCTACCCCCTTTCAGCTTTGTTTTGCTTAGGGCCAGGACATCCAACTTCTTTTCATTCATAACATCAGCAATCATCTGTTTCTTGTCATCCGCACTACATCCACGCACTTTTAAGCAACCCAGTTTTATAAAGTTTTTCTTTTTCTCTTTTTTTAGTAATTGTATACAGGATAAGGGTTACTAGCCCATTGCTCCCGGCATTTTAGTCGCCTCATACGACACGCATGGCTTACGGAGGAAAGATTCTTTTCCACTTCCCCATGGACAATAGAAGAAATAAAAAAGAACAAGAGCTATTTAGAAAAAGGAGAAATACCTAGATGTATGTATATATATATATGCATGTGCGTGTCTGTGAAGTGTGACCAAAGTGTAAGTAGGAGTAGCAAGATATCCCTGTTATCTTAGCGTGTTTATGAGACAGAAAAAGAAACCAGCAAATTTCTTACCTTTAAAAAAAAAGTTATAGATGAATTAATGGATGTCTATAATAACATAACATACAATATTTGTAGTGCCCCAGAGTGATTGTTATTATTATTATTATTATTGTTATTATGTTTATTGCCATCGACATACCTTGTTCACTGGGTTTAATAATTTCTAACTTGGCATTTAAAGTAAGAGGGTTACGACTCCTCTTTTTATCACAACTACCTTCACAAACTACCACAAAAGAGAGAGAATGAGAGACACGGAGAATCTAAACAGAGTGAGTGGGTGTTGGAAGGTCAAATGGATGCATATTAGTACCTGTCTAGTTACTGCTCATATTCATTTTGCATTATGGATCTGTTTGTGCAGCTTTTACCCCACAATACAAATTCCTTACATTGTGTACAAGTTGTCTTCACGTTGGTGCAGTAGAATAAATAACAGCAAAGCCTCCATTCTCATGCAACACGCCATTTATAGAGAGAATGATGCTATGAGCAAAGGCATGTGAAAGGAATATTTTTCTACAGTTACCCCCAGTAATACTGTACTGTACACAGCTTCTCTTGTGTTGGACTAGATGGACTACAGAAAATGTAATTCTTGCTGTCACTCCTACAAGCCACCTGGCTACCCAGTCTCATATTTGTCAATTTCTTCTACTATGGTTGTATGTACAGCCTCTCCTCACTTAGCGAAGTACTTGTTTACCGATGCCTCAGACTTACGACCAGTATTCATGTCTAAATAATGTATATTAGAGCTGATTTCCTCTATTCTGTTCATTTCAATATACAGTACACTACTGTACAAGCATTTAAGAATATACCAGAAATGTTACAAATGGTGCAAAGGCGACATTAAAACAAAATCAACGATGGTTGGCACAAACTCTCTACAATTATAGTATGCTCCTCACTTAGCGACGAATTCGTTTAACGGCTTGGTCTTAGGAACGGAACTCTATCATTAAGTGAGGAGATGCTGTATTACATTTATATGATATGTAGCCTGTTTCTTGTATAATTTTGAAAAAATATAGATGGATTAATGAAGTTGTCTGTAACAACATATATGACGTTTAAAGTGCCCCAGTTATTTATTATTATTATGCTTATTGCATCTTCAGTGCTAGTGAGATAATCTTAGTGATTTTAATGTGTACCTGCAGCCATCAGTGTGTAAATTCATTTATGTACAAGTACACATAAGTTCAATTATCCGAGTATGTATAAAATATGTAATAACTTTAAAGCACTTGAAATTGTGGAAAGTTTCTGGACATAATCAAGAGATGCAGACCACATAGAGAATGACAGCAGAGTGGTATGTGGACACTGTAATAGCAAATCTGGGAGCCATGTAAATGAATTTTTGGTTATACATGATCTGAAATGTTCGTATTAACGAATTGCTGTAAAGCGAAGTGCCATGAAGCGGGGCCCTCCTGTATTTTTTTTCTTCTCCGGTACAGCTGGAAAACATTAGGGATGTGTTTCCATAAGACACCTGCCGTCCATGTTCACCTATCAGTATAAAATGGGTACCTGGGTATTAGTTGACTGTTGTGGGTCACATCCTGGGACAAAACTGACCTAATTTGCCTGAAATGCTCAGCATAACAAGAGGCTTTCAATATAGTAGTATGTCATTAATGTCAGCTAGGCCTGTATACCTTGTACTTTTTTTTTTTTTTTTTTTTTTAAGTTGGCCGTCTCCCACCGAGGCAGGGTGACCCAAAAAGAAAGAAAAAATCCCCAAAAAGAAAATACAGTGCTCCCCCGGTTAACGATATTTTTTCATTCCAGAAGTATGTTCAGGTGCCAGTACTGACCGAATTTGTTCCCATAAGGAATACTGTGAAGTAGATTAGTCCATTTCAGACCCCCAAACATACACGTACAAACGCACTTACATAAATACACTTACATAATTGGTCGCATTGGGAGGTGATCGTTAAGCGGGGGTCCACTGTACTTTCATCATTCAACACTTTCACCTCATTCACACAATCATGTACTTGTAGTAAATAAAGATATTATTATTATTATTATTACATTTTTACAGATTTTGACACCACACCTCATGGGCATAGTCTAATTTTATCATTGTGAACACTATCTTACACCTCTCACTTTAGAGATATGTTCCTTCTCTCTCCTCTGCTGTGCTAAATGACATTTTGGGTTTGGTAATTTTTATGATTTAAACTTCAAATTGGACAATGCTTGCAATGCCGAGATAAATTTGAGATATAGTGTGAAACACAATTGAATTAATATATACATATAATTAACTAATTACCCTTTAAACCATGTCTGATGCACTAGTAAGTACGCTCCTGATGACTGTGTCCAACTTACTAGTAGGCACCATTTTTCTTGTCTTCAAATCTGCCACCTGCCAGTATTTTTAACCTCTTCACAACTCTATGGGTCTTTAATCTGTTTATACTTTAAAAAAATCTAAAGCCAGTAGGGTCCACACATTACATCATTGTTAACTATACAGGTGATGACTGTGTGTCTGACAGTCTAGTTTGTCTAACTAGCAAAAGTAAGCAGTGAAATAAGGTGGTGGTATTCCTTCACCAGCTTCACTACCAACAAAGTGTGTGTAAGTGGCACAAAGATGATGTATTCATTCCAAATTTATTAAAATTTCATGATCCTGACAGTGGAATTCAGCTACAAGGCACACTAAATATGCTGAACCTAGGATAACCCAGTAAAGTCAAACAGTGTGATTTATTTCCATGTTTTGAGGAGTATTATACTTTGAAACAATTGTAATATTATAAGTATTCCTTGTACATAGCATTAGAAGACAAAATAGTAAAAAAAAGATTATACCATTCATATACCGCATTTTCCAAGGAGCTATATCGGGCTAAGCATTTCCCCACGTTTGAAGTGCTAAAACGTCTAATTTCATAAGAAACTAATGTGCACAGTGTTAAACATTAAAGCAATTAATGAGTGATCATTTTCCTCCAACTTCAACACACTATAAAATTGTAAGGCTTTATCAGATTCCACTCATTTTGGTCTTATTAAATTAAAAATAAAAATACACTTTCATTCTTTGAAAAGTAAAGACTTTTTTTTTTTTTTTAAGTCATCCCCCCCCCCCCCCACAGGAATTTTATTTGGGGGTATGCCACAGTTTAAAGGTTAATTTAATTCTACAAGCATGCTCGTATCATAATAGGCATCTTTGTCCAAAGATGGGGTTACGTTCAGAAGAACCCATTGTAATTCAGAAATAAAAAATATCAAAAGTTGAATATGAATATATGCTAAATAACTATTATCACTGAGTAAGTAAATAAATAATTTCAGTAACTAAATACCAGTATTGAAAAATAAATAAATGAATACAAAAACAGTGATTATGTGCGAGTGAGGTGAAAGTGTTGAATGATGATGAAAGTACAGTGGACCCCCGCTTAACGATCAGCTCCCAATGCTACCAATTATGTAAGTGTATTTATGTAAGTGCGTTTGTACATGTGTGTTTGGTTGTCTCAAATGGACTAATCTAATTCACAATATTCCTTATGGGAACAAATTCGTTCAGTAATGGCACCTGAACATACTTCTGGAATGAAATAATATCATTAACTGTGGGTCCACTGTATTTTCTTTTTGGGGATTTTCTTTCTTTTTGGGTCACCCTGCCTCGGTGGGAGATGGCCAACTTGTTAAAAAAAAAAAAAAAAAAAAAAAAAGTTACGGACTTGCTGCCTTCGTGCTGGGTAATCATCTTACATTTCATCTCCAAAGTAATTGCATTTGCACCATTCTAAAGTTGAAATATCGAGTCCAACCATCGTAGATTGAAAGGCACCTGTATTAGCATGAATTGGCTGAAGTTGAGTATATAAATTTAATATTTTGGACCAAGGGCTCTCTTAGTAATAATACTTTGTTTGATTATTAGTTATATTTTTTTCTTTAAAAATATGCATTTTATTGCCTTAATACGTGCACATTTTGATCTTAATATTTTTTTCAGGTGGAGCCCATTGAGAACTGGCATGGCCGATGGTTTCCTCATCCTCCTGAGGAGTTAACCAGAAAAGGGAATATTCCAGCTGACCTGCCAGACTATTTAAAGGATGATAAACATGGAGTTGTAATGGGAATTCCTAGTTCAATGTGTGATAATGGCAAGGTATTTAATTAAACAGAAACATGTGGTCTCATTACTTAAGTATGTAGGTAGATAATGGTACAAAATACCAACACATTGGTAGACTAGGAATAGGACTATTTCAGAATTTTTGCTGATTCTGGTACTCTGTTTGAGGTGGATACCAATACTCTTTCAATTTTTTTTATATTTAAAATTGATAACTATGTTCAATATGTAAGGAATGCTTATTGTTTAATTGATATTAAATAACCCAGGAAGGATAAATATTAAATGACTTAATTCCTCTGAGATCCTTTTGATGAGTTCCAAGAGTTTATCTACTCCAGTGCCAAGTATGGGCCAGCCTCGTCTGGTGACTTGCAAATTGAAAAAATAAAACAGAATTTTTGAATCGGTTTATATATTTAGTAATCTGATAAAGACATTATGAGAATTCAGTTAGAAAAATAAAATCCTGAATAATTTCCAGTTTTCATAAACATGAAACTAAAATATCCAACACTCATAATACTGTTGATTTAAAGCTTTAAAATATATTTTGAAACCTAAATAAAACATAAAACATTAGGGTGGCCCGGTGGCCTGGTGGCTAAAGCTCCCGCTTCACACACGGAGGGCCCGGGTTCGATTCCCGGCGGGTGGAAACATTCGACACGTTTCCTTACACCTGTTGTCCTGTTCACCTAGCAGCAAATAGGTACCTGGGTGTTAGTCGACTGGTGTGGGTCGCATCCTGGGGGACAAGATTAAGGACCCCAATGGAAATAAGTTAGACAGTCCTCGATGACGCACTGACTTTCTTGGGTTATCCTGGGTGGCTAACCCTCCGGGGTTAAAAATCCGAACGAAATCTTATCTTATCTTATCTTATTCTTTATTGCAGTAACTAGAAAATTAATACATATGTATTTAAAATTAGTTTAGAATTTGAACAACAACCTCTATCCATTTATTAAACTGAATTAACACCCATTTCCATTATACAGTTTAATGTACAGTAGGATCCCCGTATCCATGGGAGACGAGTTCCAAGAACCTACCATGGATACCAAAACCATGTATTGTTGTGAACAATATGTATAAGTCCTATGCATACCTATTATAAATTTTAACTGATAAATTAAGCACAATAAGTGAAGAATTATCACATTTTCACTGCTTCTCTTAGGTTTTGAAGAACTTCCCTCGTCACTACTTTTGCACTTTGATGCCGTTATTAAGCAAAATTAAGGGTTACTTTTGGGCTGCAGTAAACCACAGATACAGTGGATCCCACCTTATGAACGCATCGTGTTACGTTAAATCCGCCATACGAAGCATTTGAACACAAAAATTTTGCCTGGCCTCACGATAAAAAACTTGCCTTACGTGATTCGTCCGGGACGCGTCCCACATGCGGCCTCAGTGCCAGTGTTTACAAGCCAGCCAGTGCGGTTGCATCTATGCATACTTTAGGTACATTTCACATTATCCCAGTGTTTTTAGTGCTTGTAACTGCAAAATAAGTCACCATGGACTCCAAGAAAGCTTCTAGTGCCATCCCTGTGGTAAAAAGGGTGAGAATTAGTATGGAACTGAAAAGAGAGATTAAGGAAATGTGGGCAGGGGGTTGAACTGCAAACCTTTATGGATGAAAATCACCCTGACACAGCTACTGCAAGCCGTGTTGGCAACCTGTACACTGACAATGTTATGGCCCATTTTAGGAAAGTCTTAAAGGAACGGGAGGTACAGCACTCTATGGACAGATTTGTTGTGCGACAGAGGTCCAGTGACTCTCAAGCTGGTCCTAGTGGCATTAAAAGAAGAAGGGAAGTAACCCCAGAAAAGGACTTGCTACCTCAAGTCCTAATGGAAGGGGATTCCCCTTCTAAACAATAATTTCCACACACTCCCCTCCTCCCGTCCCATCAATCATCACCAGATCTTCAATAAAGGTAAGTGTCATGTATTCTATTCTTAGTAGAGTAGTAATTGTGCATGTCTTCTTCAGTTTGTGTGTATTAAAATTAATATTTCATGTGGTAAAATTTTTTTTTTCATACTTTGGGGCATCAGGAGCAGATTAATTTGATTTCCATTATTTCTTGTGGGGAAAATTAATTTGGCTAACGATAATTTCCACTTACGATGAGCTCTCGGGAACGGATTAATATCGTAAGGCGGAGGTTCACTGTACTGGACCTAAAGATACAGGGGTCCTGCTGTATTATTATTATTATTATTATTATTATTATTATTGTCTGTCGTGTCTTTGATAGTAAAGGCAGTGGTAGCTATAATGAGTTTGGTGGTAGAGGAGATTTTGAGGATGTATTTGGCAGTGAAGTTGAGAACTATGTATTTCTTTGGTGGTGTCAAATCTGAGTGAATTGATATTTTGGGGTGCATAGTCTGCAGTCCATAACGAAACTTGGTTAGAAACAATACAAGTCTTCTACAAGACATTTAATACTGTGGTATAAACCTTGGTGATAGATACCAACAAATTGGTTTAAAAAGATGTGAGCAAACACTAGAACATATTTATTAGAAAATGCTTTGGTTGTGGGACCTTGATCACTTCTAACACACACAGGTTAAAATGAGAGTATACGTAGGTGGAGTGGGGTGTGAGTGACTCTCACCCATCTCTCTTTGGTCTTTCGTCGAAGTCTTAAAGATTTTAATAATACTACATTAGCCATTATCCAAAATTAGTTTTTTTAACTTTGGATTACACTGCACTTAATAATTGAGCTTTAGATGTGTTCACCCTCGGGTATGGTGGATACTTAAATTCTCTTAGTTATTATGAATTTGAAACAAGTCTTTCTGTTATCTTTTTATTTTAGCTAGAGAAATGTTACAGTACATTATTTCATTTTCTCTGCAGGTTAACCTAACAGTAGACTGGAACTTCTCTCCCATCAACTACACGTGTTTTGACCCCAAGCACCATCGAATACCAGTCCAAGATAGTCTGCCTTCAGTAGAAAAATGTGTTTATGTACCACAGAATTACACTCCTGAACACATCTGCATGAATCGTGAAATTATGTATAACACGAGCTTGCCAACGTTTGGACCACATCGCCCCATTTGGCCTGTTTTTGGAGAATATAAATTTGTACCCGTTCAGAGATGGCTTCACAATATAGAGGTAAGTTTTTTTTTATTTGTGAATAGCTTTAACCCATCAAAGGGAAGTTCCTTGACATTGGTAAGGGGCTCTACATTCTAGGAATTAAAGCTACCCTCCCCATGCACTGATGAAATTTGATTGCCTCTCACTCTTCAGGTATTTTATGATCCTTACAGGTTTAAAACTTCTCTAAGACTATAACACTGTAATAACAATTAGTTAAGACATAGAGACTACATGTACTAGATGTGTTTTCAGTAAATAATTTTTACATGCATTGGTCATTGTAGTCAGTTCAGTAAGAAGGTCCAGGACTCAAATCCTATACAGTATGAAATGTATGGAAAAATTCCTTACAGTTAATAAGTTGATGGGTGTTAATCCTTTAACTGTTTTTGATCTAGATCTACATTATTGATGCCAGTGTCACTTGTGTGGATCTGCATTTTTCGCACAGCCTATTTTGATCTAGCAGTAAATAATTAGTTGGGTGTTAACCCATCTAGATCTATGTTATTGATGTCACTGTCATTTGCTTAGGTCTACGTTTTTTGCACAGCACCCTGAAATGTGCTGTGAGTGGTAAATTTTGGCATAGACTTTAGAGAATGGGTCTGTGGAGTGAGTGTGCACAGTGTAAAAAACAAAATCCTGCCCCATTCAGTGTATGATGGGAAAAGCAAATTTCTGACTGTTTGGTTTAAAATAGTGACATAGAGATGTTTTCTAAGATGGTTTTTATGGTTTTATTAGCAGTTTCTTGGGACTCTTTTGTTGCCGTTTTGACAGTCCTGTGGTTGTTGCCATAGAGCATTACGTGATTAATTCATTATTCTGGTGTCAAGATGTTTGGTATGCATTTTATTCAGAATATTCAATTAGGATTCGTGAAGAAAACACAGTATTTAAGCAGTGTCATTGCTGTACAATTGAAGGATGTGATTGTATATAGAATAAGCATTTCCATGAGGAAATTGAGAAGAATCCCTCCTCCATAAGCCATGTGTTGAAAGAGGCGACAAAAATGCCAGGAACAAGGGTTCAGTAACCCCTTCTGTATAAATTACTAAATGTAAAAAGAAGAAAAATTTTACGTTTCTTTTTTGGGTCACCCTGCCTCGGTGGGAGATGGTGGGTTTTTTTTTTTTTTTTTCCTCAAGTCAGCAGTCTCCCACTGAGGCAGGGTGACCCAAAAAGAAAGAAGAAAATACTTTAATCATTCAACACTTTCACCTCACTCATACATAATCATTGTCTTTGCAGAGGCACTCAGATACAACAGTTTAGAAGCATATATAAAGATACTGTATATGACATATCTCTCCAAACTGCCATTATCCCAAACCCCTTCTTTAACGTGTAGTCATGGTACTTCCCATTTCCAGTACTCAAGTCCAGCTATATAAAAATCACCAGTTTCACTAAATATTACCCTGCTCACACTCCAACAGCTCATCAGGAATATGATGGTTTTCTTCTTTTTCTTTTTAGTAAGCTATAGGGGAAAAGGGGTTACTAGCCCATTGTTCCCAGCATTTTAATTGACTTTTACAATATGCATGGCTTATGAAAGAAAGATTCTTATTCCATTTCCCCTGGGATATGAAAGGAAAAGCAATAAGAATAAGAACTATTAAGATAAAATCTAAGAAAACTTAGATGAGTGTGTATATATAAACATGTACATGCATGTGTAGTGACCTTAGTGTAAGTAGAAGTAGCAAGATGTACCTGAAATCTTGCATGTTTGAGACAAAAAAAAAGACAGCAGCAATCCTACCATCATGTAAAACAAAATACATGCTTCCTCTTTATACTCACTTGGGAGGACAGTAGTACCTTCCTGAGTGGTTGCTGGTGGTATTAAAGAAAAAATTACTGATTTTCAATCTTGTTGGTATTGTATACCATTCTTGTAAAAAAAATATTTAAATTTAAGCATAAAGCTCTATGGTCTAAAAGTAATATATCTTGTTGCAGCATGGAGCAGTAGTCATGTTGTATGATCCCTGCACAGAACCTCTTGTGGTACACAGACTTCGTAAGTTGGTTACTGGGTGCATACGGAAGCACATCATCACCCCATATACATTTCTGTCTAAAGAACGAGTAAGTAATTTAATATTCTGTACCAACTAGAGATTAGTGAACTGAGCAGTTGAACTGTTTTCTTTTTCTAATAATATATCCACCATTCTTTATTTATGCCATTCCAGTTATGTATGACAGTAATTACAGACAGATTATTAAAAAATTTGTACAGACTTTATAGGAAGATTTTTTTTGCAAGTTTATCTTCACCTGCTGGTAGAAGAGACTGGCTGTGTATTGCCTTTGAATTTTTATTATTAAATATTATGGACCTGTTGAATTAGTAATGTAAAATAATTCTTCAGGAGTGATTATTTGCACCTAGAGAAGAGAGAAGTGCAGAGGAGAGAGAGAGATTTTGGGAAATGTTGAGTGTGTGGGGAGTTTTGAACCAAGTGAGAGAGTACTTGTGGCTGGGGATCTCAATGCTAAAGTGGGTAAAAATGTTGTGGAGGGAGTAGTAGGTAAACTTTTGGTGCTAGGGGTAAATGAAAATGGGGATCCCTTAATTGAAGTAATACATATTTTATGAAAAAGAGAATAAATAATTATACAAGGTATGATATAGCACATAATGAAAGTAGTTTGTTGGATTAGGTATTGCTGGATAAAAGGTTGATGGGTAGGTATCAGGATGTACATGTTTATAGAAGGGCAACAGATATATCAGATCATTATTTAGTTGTAGCTACAGTTAAAGTAAGAGGTAGAGGAGACAAAAGGAAAATGGCAACATCCAGTAAGAGAGAGGTGAAAGTGTATAAACTAAGGGAGTAGGAAGTTAGGGTGAGATATAAGCAACTATTGGCAGAAAGGTGGGCTAGTGCAAGCATGGGTAGTGGAGGGGTTGAAGTTAGTGTGAGATATAAGCAAATGTTGGCAGAAAGGTGGGCTAGTGACATTCCAATTCCCACAGTTCCAATACTTCAGTATTGGAATGTGTATAAAGGGCCTATATAGATATGTAGTGTAGCTAACAGTAGAGTATATGGTGAGGAGAAAAAGGAAATGGAAACAGAAAGAAGAGGAGAAAAGTATAAGCTAAGGGGAGGCAGTAGTAGAATTGATGAAATAAGAACAATTTGAAAGGTGGGCTAAGGCAAGCATGGTAGTGGGGTTTGATAGAGCGATGGAGAATAAGTTTTAATTTGACAGAGGTGGGCTAGTGGAAGCTTCCAATTTAAAGATCAGTAATACGGAAGGGGACGAAGTTCTGGAGTAGGAGTTAGTGCTGATGAAGGAGGAGTGTTTGTGATATTAAATGAGTAAGCCCCTTGGAAGAGGGCATGAAAGGAAAAGGTAGCTTGAAGATTTCTTTTGGGGACATGCCTGTGAGAACGTGTGATAATAATAAAATATTGAATAATGAACAAGTTAAGAAAGCCTAGGGAACAAATTGGATTTGTCAGTTAAAAGCAGAGTAGGGTAGTTAGTAGATGGGGAGCTGGAGGTATTGGGTAGATGGCAGGAATATTTTGAGAAATTTTCAGATGTCGATGAAGAAAGGGAGGCGGTAATTTCATGCACTGGCAAGGGAGGTATAACATCTTTTAGGAATGGAGAAGAGCAGGATGTGGGTGTGGGGCAGGTGCATCAACACTATGTAGAATGAAAGGGGATAAAGCAGCTGGAGCTGATGGGATCATGACAGAAATGTTAAAAGCAGGGGGGATATAGTGTTGGAGTGGTTGGCATTTTTGTTTAATAAATGTATAAAAGAGGGGAAGGTACCTAGGGATTGGCAGTGTGTGTGTATAGTTCCTTTATATAAATGGAAGGGGGACAGAAGGGATTGTAAAAATTATAAGGGAATAAGTTTACTGAGTGTAGGTAGTAGGTTGGTAGACAGCAACCGCCCAGGGAGGTACTACCGTCCTGCCAAATGAGTGTAAAATGAAATCCTATAATTGTTTTACGTGATGGTAGGATTGCTGGTGTCCTTTTTTTTTGTCTCATAAACGTGCAACATTTCAGGTATGTCTTGCTACTTCTACTTACATTTAGGTCATACTACACATACATGTACAAGCATATATATACACACCCATCTGAGTTTTCTTCTATTTTCTTTCTAGTTCTTGTTCTTGTCTATTTCCTCTTATCTCCATGTGGAAGTGGAATAGAATTCTTCCTCCGTAAGCCATACGTGTCGTAAGAGGCGACTAAAATGCCAGGAGCAAGGGACTAGTAACCCCTTCTCCCGTATAAATTACTAAATTTATAAAGAGAAACTTTCGTTTTTCTTTTTGGGCCACCCTGCCTTGGTGGGATACGGCCGGTTTGTTGAAAAAAAAAATGTATAAAAGAGGGGAAGGTACCTAGGGATTGGCAGTGTGTGTATAGTTCCTTTATATAACGGGAAGGGGGACAGAAGGGATTGTAAAAATTATAAGGGAATAAGTTTACTGAGTGTAGGTAGTAGGTTGGTAGACAGCAACCGCCCAGGGAGGTACTACCGTCCTGCCAAGTGAGTGTAAAATGGAAACCTGTAATTGTTTTACATGATGGTAGGATTGCTGGTGCCTTTTTTCTGTCTCATAAATATGCAAGATTACAGATATGTCTTGCTACTTCTACTTACACTTAGGTCACACTACACATACATGTTTTTTTTTTTTTTTCCAACAAGTTGGTCGTCTCCCACCGAGGCAGGGTGACCCAAAAAAAGAAAGAAAATCCTCAAAAAGAAAATACTTTCATCATCATTCAACACTTTCACCACACTCACACATTATCACTTCTTTTGCAGAGGTGCTCAGAATACAACAGTTTAGAAGCATATACATATAAAGATACACAACATATCCCTCCAAACTGCCAATATCCCAAACCCCTCCTTTAAAGTGCAGGCATTGTACTTCCCATTTCCAGGACTCAAGTCCGACTATAAGAAAATAACCGGTTTCCCTGAATCCCTTCAATAAATATTACCCTGCTCACACTCCAACAGATTGTCAGGTCCCAAGTATCATTCGTCTCCATTCACTCCTATCTAACACGCTCATGCACGCTTGCTGGAAGTCCAAGCCCCTCGCCCACAAAACCTCCTTTACCCCCTCTTTCCAACCCTTTCGAGGACAACCCCTACCCCTCTTTCCTTCCCCTATAGATTTATATGCTTTCCATGTCATTCTACTTTGATCCATTCTCTCTAAATGACCAAACCACCTCAACAACCCCTCTTCTGCCCTCTGACTAATGCTTTTATTAACTCCACACCTTCTCCTAATTTCCACACTCCGAATTTTCTGCATAATATTTACACCACACATTGCCCTTAGACAGGACATCTCCACTGCCTCCAACCGTCTCCTCGCTGCTGCATTTACCACCCAAGCTTCACATCCATATAAGAGTGTTGGTACTACTATACTTTCATACATTCCCTTCTTTGCCTCCATAGATAACGTTTTTTGACTCCACATATACCTCAACGCACCACTCACCTTTTTTCCCTCATCAATTCTATGATTAACCTCATCCTTCATAAATCCATCCGCCGACACGTCAACTCCCAAGTATCTGAAAACATTCACTTCTTCCATACTCCTCCTCCCCAATTTGATATCCAATTTTTCTTTATCTAAATCATTTGATACCCTCATCACCTTACTCTTTTCTATGTTCACTTTCAACTTTCTACCTTTACACACATTCTCAAACTCATCCACTAACCTTTGCAATTTTTCTTTAGAATCTCCCATAAGCACAGTATCATCAGCAAAAAGTAACTGTGTCAATTCCCATTTTGAATTTGATTCCCCATAATTTAATCCCACCCCTCTCCCGAACACCCTAGCATTTACTTCTTTTACACCCCATCTATAAATATATTAAACAACCATGGTGACATTACACATCCCTGTCTAAGACCTACTTTTACCGGGAAGTATTCTCCCTCTCTTCTACACACCCTAACCTGAGCCTCACTATACTCATAAAAGCTCTTTACAGCATTTAGTAACTTACCACCTATTCCATAAACTTGCAACATCTGCCACATTGCTCCTCTATCCACTCTATCATATCCTTTTCTTAAACAGCCATAATGCCAAAAGAAAAACAATTCCTACCTTTATCAATTAGTTACATATATTTCAATATAACACTTGATTTACATCCCCTCCCCATTCTGAATGCCTCCTTGACATACCGCAATGCTACAAAATTCTGTCTTACCTCTAATTTCAGATAATAAACTTACCGATATATTTGAAGTAAATCAGAACTTATTACCTCTAAGGTTTGTACAATTCTTTATGTCCCGTATTACCTATTAATAGATAGGGACGTACCTAATGCTCTCCGCCAATCCTAGGTAGCCCCCATCTACATTTATGTAAACAAAAGTACCAACCACTCCAACACTATACCCCCCTGCTTTTAACATTTCTGTCATGATCCCATCAGTTCCAGCTGCTTTACCCCCTTTCATTCTACGTAATGCCTCACGTACCTCCACCACACTTACATTCTGCTCTTCTTCACTCCTAAAAGATGATATACCTCCCTGGCCAGTGCATGAAATTACCGCCTCCCTTTCTTCCTCAACATTTAAAAATTCCTCAAAATATTCTCGCCATCTACCTAATACCTCCCTCTCCCCATCTACTAACTCCCCTACTCTGTTTTTAACGGACAAATCCATACTTTTCCTAGGCTTTCTTAACTTGTTTAACTCCAAAATTTTTTTCTTATTTTCATTAAAATTTCTTGACAGTGCCTCTCCCACTCTTTCATCTGCTCTCCTTTTGCACTCTCTCACCACTCTCTTCACCTTTCTTTTACTCTCCATATACTCTGCTCTTCTTATAACACTTCTGCTTTGTAAAAACCTCTCGTAAGCTACCTTTTTCTCTTTTATCACCCCTTTACTCATCATTCCACCAATCACTCCTCTTTCCTCCTGCCCCCACCCTCCTATACCACAAACTTCTGCCCCACATTCTAATACTGCATTTTTAAAACTATTCCAACCCTCTTCAACCCCCCCACTACTCATCTTTGCACTAGCCCAC